CGCTATTATCCTAATCTAAATTAGGGTATAGTCACTTGGAACGAGAAGTACCATCGTAGAGATACTAATACTCCTATATTCATTACCTACGACATCACCATTGTTATTAAAAATAAAATTATACGAGTATAGTATGAAATTTTTTGGGATTGGGAATGGGTCAAGCCAATGGAGGGCGTGATTTGACGTGGTTGCATCATCAAAGACACAGGTCAGAAACGTTGGAATGGTGGGGCCCACTGGGCAGCGCTGTCTGTGAACGTTGGAGGAGGCGATAATCATGGTCACAGCACAGCCACCCTTATGCGCATGGAAAACGCTAATATGGATCCTTCTTTATTATTATTATTTTATTATTTTATTCCACTTTTTCTTTTCCTTTTATTATTCTCTACGTTAACAAATTTAGTTCTAAAACTAATGGGAATAAAAATGTTATTCTTTTATATTTTTTGATAGAAAGTTCTTTTTAATATAATAAATGGAGTGGAGATTCGAACTCATGATCTTTTGATTAGGGAGAGATATCAATTATCGGTAAGTTAAATTTATGTTGGCATAGAAAGTTTGTCGTTTAATAAAACTGTATGTAGTCGTAATTAGAATTATATATTCTTTAAAGGCCAATCATCGAAGAAAATCAATAAATCCAAAAGCGGATCATCAAACAAGATTTACAAATTCAGAGTCGATCATCTAAAAATTCTAGAGAAAGTATTAAAAATAAATATTAGAGATGGTACGGATTCCAAAAATCAATAAAATTATATTTAGATAACATATTAAATTTCTCAGGATATCTCATGTCAACCCATACATCTATGGAAAAAACTATTTTCTTTTTCTAGTTAGAAAGAAAACTATAGTTGGTGCTTTTATAAGTTATTAATGTAAATAATTATTAGTTTAAAAAAATTGAATAATTCATCTAAAAGTTAATATATATATATATATATTTTTTTTTTTGGACAAAAAGTTAATAATTTTATATATTAATGGATCAAAAGTTTAGAATTTGGCGCAAAGTTAGAGGTACAATTAATTAAATTTTATTGTCTCAAAAGAGATTAGGATAATTTATTATCCACTTTTTACCCTAGCATCACTTTGAATGTGATGTGGTTGTCATCCTAACATTTTATTATTATTATTATTATTATCATTATTATTATTGGTGTATTTTCACTCCCTTACGTACGTATTTTTAAAAAATCACAAACTTAATTTTTTTTTTTAATACAGCAGCCGTGTAACTTTCATTAGTATTTTTGTTAGAGTAAAGTTTTATTAATTTGAGAATACATTTCAATTGTTCTCTATATTTCAAAAAATGACAGTTTAGTCTCTCATTTTAAAAAAATAGTTTTAAATGGTATTTCAAGTTAAACTTCTATTAGTGTGATTAATGGAATGATGAGTTAGATATTTAATAATTTTATATTATTTTTAATTTGGTGTCATTTTTTTTCATTTTCAAAATTTTCCATTCTCTTTTTTTTTCTCTTTTCAGTTTGGTCTCTTATCTTTAAAAGAAATTATCCAATACTTAAAAATATATATTATTAAATTAGTAATATTTAATTATGGTGGTGGCTCAGGACGGCGGTCTAGTAGAGAAGCTTAGAAAGTACAATTTCGATGGGTATGCTTTTGTGATGTCATGTATATTTACAATTTGGGACTGAAGATGAGTTGGAATTTCATCGAGATTACTATCACTCGTCCTAACCTCTCATATGTTGCGGGGATTGAGAGGAAGAAGTGGAGTTGTGCTTGATTGAGGCATAAAAAACGTAAACCAAAGAGAGGAAGAGGAAAGAGAGAGAAAGATAACATAGAAAATGGAAAAAAGAATGGACACCAAATATAAAATTATTAAATATCTAACTCATCATTGCCACGTCACTATTCCATTAGTCACACAAACGGAAACTTAACTCAAATGACCATTTAGAACTACTAGTATGAAACAACACACGTAAAATTTCATAGTTTTATTTTTTTAAGTATAAAAATATAAAAATTAAATAAATAGTTAAGATTTTTAATATAATTAGACTTTTTTATCCACCAATATTTACCTCACTAAGTTTTTTTCTTTTTTGGTATTTTCTATGTTTTATCTCATAAAATAGACGTTTTAATAATTCTCATCACTCGCACTAATCTGACTAAAAAAATTTGAGAAGTGTCAATTATTTAAAAATTTTCCATAAGTAAAATACAACAAGCAGGAGTAAACGACTTAACACACATTTTCTCGGTTACTTGATTTTTTTTTAAACGCATATTCATGGATTTCTCATCATTTTTTATTCCTGACCATAACTTGCATACGAAGAAATAAACTTTGTTTTGATTTCTTATTTGAGTGAAAAAGAGAATGACACAGAAGAAAAAAAAATAACGCAAATATATCAATCTCGTAAATTTTATGAACAAATTACTTAGGTATTGTAAATAGAAACCTATCCTCGAAATTAAAAATGTATTTTAGCTTTTAGATTGAGCGAATTGATTATGATTATTAACAAAGGGGTAATCGCCCGAGAGGAGGGCCTCTTGTTGAAGGAATTTCACTCGGCTCCAAAATACCGACCGTAATTCCAAACTCAGAGCTAAAAGCAACCCCTCGAAGGGACTCACTAAAAAGCTTAGTTAATCCAAGCAAAAATTTGAGATACAACGTATCTACTTCTCTTAAAATAAAAATAAAAAAATTATTCTTGTGTTATTGAAGCCCAATTATAATCGTAGTTTTTAATTTTTTAAAGAATATGTGAATCTCATAATAATTTTTATTTCTTAATTAAAAGAAAACTATTCTTAAACAAAGTTTCGTTAGTTTTTTTCTTTTAAGTCAAGTTCTAACAAATTTTTCTTGTCTTCTTTTGAATTTTTTAAAAGATGGGAGCATTGTTACCCATGAACTCAAACATGACTCAATTATTTTAAAATATTAGTATTATGATTTCTCGTACAAATAAGAGATTTAAAGTCTCCTAATAACATAATTTAGAAGATGAAACACATATTATTGCCTCAAAAAGTAGATAATTCTATTTTATCCTTTTCTTGCTCTGAAAAAAAGATTATGACTCCACCTCCTTATTTGAACTTTAGAAGAAAAAACATTTGCTATCAAAATTTGGATTTTTCTTAATTTAAGAAAAATAAGATAAGTGAGAATATTGCCAATCCTATTTGGACTTTTATTCTAAAAAAAAAGAAAAAAAACTCAAATCTCAATTTTTTTTAAGTTGTTCATGATTGCTATTGATTAAATTAGCCAAATGGGGAATTTCCTTCAACCAATTTGATTGTTTCTTATAAGGTCCATAAATATTGACAGACTTGGAAATAAGAAAAGATTCAATCTAAAGAATTTCCAACAGCTATATCGGGTTTTTTTTTAAATGGAAATCGTTTTTTTTAGTACAGAAANGAAAGAAAGAAAAAAAAGTGACAGCCAATTTAATTAAAAATGGAAAATAATAATTTCCTTGATTTACGAGTGACTGTTGGGCCCACATCAACCCCGCCCACGTCTAAAGAGCCAGATAGATAAAAGTAAAGGCAAAAAAGGAAAAAAAATAATCTAAATAAATAAAAAATTAAAAAATATATATAGACTTTTTTTTTAGTAATATATATATATATATATATATATATTTTATAAACTATTTTGGTATATTCAAAAGGTTGATTTTGAGTTATGTATTTTCAATTTTTTATTTTATTTTAAACTCTACCTGCAAAACGTCTATTCTAGTCTCTATGTTCTTGAAATGTGACTATTTTTTTAATAGTTAATTTATTTTTAAAATGTGACTATTTTTTTAATAGTTAATTTATTTTTATTTTTATTATAATTTTAACGATACTTTATTAATTAAATTTTTTAAAATGTAGTCATAAATTTGTATTAAAATTAAAGGTTATTAAAGGTTTTATGGTATATAAAATTAGTGTTAAAATTTTGCTAATGAAGGTCAAATTCCAACAAGATCTTAGCTCAGGCTTTTTTGGTAACTCAGGATTTTGAGTTATTTATATTTGTTTGGTAATTCATGATTTTGAATTTGATATCAAATGGTATTTTTACTCAAAAAAAGCTTACCCATCAAATGAAATTTGCATGATTTCATAGAAGGTTAAAATAAATTATTTATTTAATTTTGTTATATTTTCATTCTTAATTAATAAATTTAGATTAAAAGTCTAAATCTGTAAACTTTTCCATTTATTTTCCTGAACATACGTCGAAGAAATTTAAATACATTCACAATAATATTTAAATTAAAAGGAAAAAAAAAGGAAAAAGGAAAAAGGAAGAATAAAGGTTTTGTAAAACTGTCAAAGGAAGAGAATGCGGTGGCGGCAGATTCGGCGAAGATTTCTGTAAAACGGCACCATTGTCATTATGGCAAAGCAAACATTGTGGACTCACTCCTCCGAAATCCAAATGACAGCAAATAAAATAAAATAAAATAAAAACTCCTCTTTCAGTGGGCCCCGCCTTAATCTGCCCCAATAATCCTCTTAATTCCCCCACCACCCACACGCCTCCATTTTCTTTTTCTTTTCTTTCTTTTTTTTTTTAATTATTTCCGTGTATTTTGAGTATTTTTGTTCTTTCATTTTGGTATTGAATTCATTTTATTTTCTATATTTTAAAATTTTAGTTTCGATGCATACACTTTTAATAAACGACAATTTTAATTTCTATTTGAAAAATTTTAGAATAAATTCTACTCCTAACAAAAATATTTTGATATAAAATTATGGTTACATTGGAGTGTGGTGTCTGTGTTAAAATTAAGGTAGAAAAAATAAGATTAAAAAGTAAAATTAAAAAATTAAAATATTCACTTTTTAATTAAACAAACCAAAAAAGAGGATGGTATCGAAATAGTATTTAAATCTATTATTATTATTATTTTTTAATTTCTTTTTCAGATTTCAATGATAGAATATTACATATTACAGCACGAAACCCAGTCTTTAAAATTGCGTCTCAATCCCACGATCTCCGCCACCAACATTTTCTCTGTTTTCTCCTAAACCCCTTCCTCCTTAGTCCTTATTCTATGCTCTCTGCTTCTTCCGCACCATCCATGGCTGACCAAGAAGTTGTTATCACCGATGTTCCCCTCCCCGAGAAGGCCCACGATGATCCTCCGCCGGAGAAGGATCCATTGAAGCCGGTTTCTCCACCTGAGCCAGAAGCTGCTGTGACGGGCGCTGAAGTTTTGAAGCCCGGGGACGATGAGAAAGTCGCGGCGGATGCCGATTCCTTCAAGGAGGAGAGCACTAAACTCGCCGATCTTCCCGATTCCGAGAAGAAAGCTTTGGAAGAGTTCAAGCAGCTCGTTCAGGAAGCGCTCAGAAAGCATGAATTCACAGTTCGATCGCCATTACCGGCCAAAGTTGAGGAAGCTCCGTCCGAGGCCGTGGCGGAGAAGACAGATGAACCGGATGATGCACAGAAGCGCTCCGAAGAAGAAGAGCCGCCGAAATCGGAAACTAAAACTGCCGAAACGAGTGCAGAGGAAGGAGAAAAAGAAGCAGACAAGGCAGCAAACGAAGCGGTGGAAGTAGCAGCGGAGAAAGTGGTCGTCGCGGTGAAAACCGAAGCCGTGGACGACGACGGAGCGAAAACAGTGGAAGCAATTGAAGAGACCATCGTGGCAGTTTCCTCCGGCGTACCAGCGGAGGAAGCGGCGGAGAAGGAGAAAGAGGAAAGCGTAGTCGACGCGGAGGCCAACACTCCGCCGGAGGAGGTTTCGATCTGGGGGATACCGTTACTGGCGGACGATCGAAGCGACGTCGTTCTGCTGAAGTTTCTCCGAGCGAGGGATTTCAAGGTTAAGGAAGCATTGGCGATGATCAAGAACACGATCCAGTGGAGAAAGGAGTTCAAAATCGAGGAGCTGTTAGAGGAAGATTTGGGGAGCGATTTAGAGGGAGTGGCGTTTATGCACGGCTCCGACAAGGAAGGCCATCCGGTTTGCTACAACGTGTACGGCGAGTTTCAGAAAAGAGAGCTGTACCAGAAGACGTTCTCCGACGAGGAGAAGCGGCAGAAATTCCTCCGGTGGAGGATTCAGTTCTTGGAGAAAAGCATTAGGAAATTGGATTTCAGTCCTGGTGGAATCTGCACCATTGTTCAGGTGAATGATCTGAAGAACTCGCCAGGGCTCGGAAAATGGGAGCTCAGACAGGCAACCAAACACGCCCTCCAGATCTTCCAGGACAATTACCCCGAATTCGTAGCCAAACAGGTCCCTAATTCAACCATAATCATCATCATTATTACTTTTATGTAATTAGTTGTTGATTACTGATTATTGATTTTGATTAGGTGTTCATCAATGTCCCGTGGTGGTATTTAGCTGTGAATCGAATGATTAGTCCATTTCTGACTCATAGAACCAAGAGCAAGTTCGTCTTCGCCGGCCCTTCTAAATCTGCAGAGACCCTTCTGAGGTAGTACTCCTCTTCTCTGGATTAGTGCTTTGTTTGATTCCAAAATTATGTGATTTCAAACTCTTTATTTGATTTGGATGCAGGCAGAATCGTACTTTTTGTTTGGATCCTTGCTGCTGATATAACCCTTTTGCCTTTAGTTATGATTTATGAATAGAAAATTAGAATAAGAAACCAAAATTTTGGAGAAAAATCAGGATTAAAAGCAAGGTGGAAATTGATTTAAATAATTGTGGGGGTTTCAATTTCAGGTACATAACAGCGCAGCAGCTGCCTGTGAAGTATGGAGGAATGAGCAAAGATGGTGAATTCGAGACATGTGATAGCGTCACAGAAATTACAGTAAAGCCAGCAGCCAAACACATCGTAGAATATCCTGTCACTCAGGTTGGTGATGCTTCTTCTTGTTCTTTTTTAAATTTGAAATGACATTCAATGGGAAGAAGAGTGAAGATGAAGTAAAAGTTAAAAAACCAAAAAAGATGTGCTGACTGCTGGCTGTGCAATGTTTGAAAATGTTTGTGCTGCTGTGGGTTTTTGTTGAAAGGTGTGCATTTTCATTGGATTCTCTGGACATGACAGACCAACCCCAAATGACCCATCATGTCTGTCTCAATGTCTCTCCCTTTATTTTAAAGGAAGAGACTTTGAATGGAAATTCTCTGCTCTCTCTCTCTCTCTCTCTCTCTCTCTCTTTTTTGTTTGTTTTTGACTGGGTGGTGGTGGTCCACTTTTCTATCAAAATCCAAACCAAGGGGAAGAAGGGGGCATCCTATGATTTCAAATTTTAAATAGTTTTACTCATATAGGACGATGCAGTTTGGTTGAATTTGTTATCATATCGATTTAGAGGTCAAATTTAAATCTACTTTAGAGTACTCTGCCTATAGAGTGCAGAGCTCTAACATTTGATTATTAAAAATAATAATAATAATAATCATACTCTACTTTGGATGATTCACTTTTTATTTTTCTCTCTCTCTCTTTCTAGTTTACTTCATTCTTTAAATGTTTTCTTAATTTATATAAAATTCATTTTAAAAATGTTCACTAATAACTTATTATTTGAACCCATCACTCAATTTCTTAGCATGTAACTTCAAACATTTGTGTCCTATAGGCATTTTCTGGTTAGATAAATAGACAGCATGGCATGAATTTTTGGAAAAAAATAACTTTTGGTCTCCATGCTTCTTTTGACCTAATGATTTAGATTCCAAACTTCAGTACTTTGTTTTATCTGTTTTCTTTTATAGAGAGAGCTAAACTTTAGAACCGAATAATTTAATTTAGGTTAACAAATTTGATCCAAATAAACTTTAATTAGGTTGTAAAAAACTTACTCTTTTAACCTATAGTTTGCCACAATATAGTCTTTATATTTTTAAATTTATAACAATTTAAGTCATGAACTAGTCACTTTAGTTGTTGTAGTTGTAGTTTAAATTTGTAATGATTTAGTATCTTTCTTAAAAAATATTACCAAAATTTTATATAGATTGACAAAAAAATGAAGTACTGTGTTTACAAACTATAAAGCTTAATTTGGTCAGGTGATGATTGTTTGAAATGCAATAAAAGTTCCACGTTAGCTAAATAATAGGTAAATTAGGAACATGTATTTTTATATAAATAAGTGATGTGGAAAACAAAACTATATGCACTTGTGTAGGGAATATTATATGGTTAGAGAAATTTTTTTAAGGGTGAGATGGAGAAAAAAAGGAATAATAATAATAAGAATAATGTTGTAATGTAATAAAATTGGATATGATGTGACAGGCGTGCGGCGTGACGTGGGAGGTGCGGGTGGTGGGATGGGATGTGAGCTACGGCGCAGAGTTCGTGCCGGGGGCGGAGGGAAGCTACACAGTGATCATAGACAAGGCGAGGAAAGTGGGGTCCACCTCGAAGGAGCAGGTTATTTCCAACACGTTCAAGGCGGGCGAGGCCGGTAAGGTGGTCCTGTCCGTAGACAATCCCACCTCCAAGAAGAAGAAGCTCCTCTACCGCTTCAAGACCAACTCTCTCTCCTCCTAAACAAATCCTCTCAAACTCCTCAACATTCACAACCCTTTTGTTATATATATAAAAAAAAAAAACACTTCATTTTCCCTTTATATTATTTATTATATTCCTTGTTGTGAGCAATGCCTTTTCTTTTCTTCCTCATGGGTGTATTGTAATCTAATCATGCTTCTTCATGTTTTTTGGGGTTTTTTTTCTTATTTATTAATTTTATTAATTTATTTATCTATTATCCTCCTGGTATTAAACATATGTGAACAAGTGTATCGATATTTTCATGTATTCATAGGTTTGACATGTATATAATAGGTAAATTGATAAAATATGAAAAATATCAACAAAATATCATTATTATATACAGTATATTAATACTAATAATTTTTCTTATTTAGAAATAGAAAAATATTTATTTGTCAATTTAAATGTTTGTTACGATTTTTTTGTTTTTCTAATTTTTATAGAAATATTCATTGACATCGATATTTTATCAATATTTCTATCGATATTTTCATACAATTAAGATGACGACATTTACTACCTTGCTTCTCCTTTTCATACTTTTTATCTCAAGTTTAGATTATTTCTTGAAAATCTATGCATGTTCTTCTCTACTTCAAATTTGTATTCTTGTATTTATCGGTAGTTTTAGAGTGTTTGGAGGGCTAAAAGTATTTTTTAGTACAACATGTGGGCTGGGGATTCAAACTTTCAATCTCATGATTGGATACATATATCTTAACCCGCTAAATTATATTATATTGATAAATTTACTTTGATGTGAATAATGGTAAGACTTTTCCTTACATATTTTATAGTAGCAAGGGATTAGAGTAAAAGAAAATACAAGGAGACAATTTATAAGGTTTACTCTCATAAAGAGAAGAAAAAGAATGATAAAGACAAATTTATTATTTTAAAATTTTGTATTGGAACAAATAGTTGACAAATTTTCTGTTAGAGATTTGTGATTGTCCAAAGGAGGCTCATTGAGCCTATGTTGTGGTCTCGTTTCTCATTTCTTGTTCTTTATTCTACTCTTATTTAATAAAAAAGAAAAAAACTATGTATCATAACTATTTCGATGTCTTATTATTTTTTTTGAGAGAAAAAAAAACAAATACGAGAATTTGACAATTATTTCTCGTTTAATGTTTCTTAAATTTTAAATTAAACCTTCATAATTTTTATATTATATTTAAGGCAAAATACACTTTTGGTCCTTGAGGTTTGAGTCAGGTGTATATTTAGTTCTTGAAGTTTTAAAAAAGATAGTTTTGATCTCTGAAGTTTAAGTTAAGTATCTATTTGATCCTCGAGGTTTCAAAAGAGACATTTATGGTCCCTAAGGTTTGTGAAATGATTTCAAATGGTCCTTGAACTGAGTTGACATTGATTAGACTGTTAACTACTAATATGACTTGCAAACTTGTCAATTTGATAAATTATGTGACAAATGAGCTTTTTCTATTTAGAGTTTGATAAATTTTTAGGTTATAAAATAAAAAAAAAAACACAATAAAGAAGGTGAGGGAAATGGACTTAAATGACCTTCGTGGAAGAACTTTTTGCTCAAACAACTCAAACCTCAAAAATTGTTTTAAATGACCTATTACATTATTTTAATGAATTTAAGAGTAACTGAAATTACATTTATGCCCCTCAAGTCAAAAAACAACTATTGCCCTCCTTTCCCTCTCTTTCTCTTCTCCTTCCGTCGTGCGTTTCAACTTCTTCTTCCTTTTTGATTTCTTCTTCTTCCTTTTCGGTTCCTTTCTTCCCATTTTGTTTTTGCTTAAAAACCCACTTATCCTTCCGTTGTGAGTTTCAAAAGCTTGTCTTTTCGCGTCTCATTCGTGAAATCGAGCTAAACATTTTCCCAATTTTATGCTTTTAGTTAGGGCTTTCTGTGGATTTATACTCTGAACCGCTGTTTGCGTTGGTTGATTTGTTGTTTCCCGTTGTAAACATGAGAAGTGAGTTTTAGGGTTTAACAAACGTGGATTCTCTGTTATATGGTTTGATTTCTGTAAAATGGTGGTTTGAGGTGGTGGAAGGTGAGTCTCGTTTTCGATTTCAGGCTAAACGTGGATTCTCTGTTATTTTTAATGTTGAGAACAATTTAGTTGGGAAAACAATAAATTCTTGTAGTGGTAGCCTAGGGTCACGAACGCATATTGAAAATATTTATCATCTTCTAGCTTTAATGAAAAAACCGTGTCCGGGTTCACAGATTTCAACGCCTCGTCATATTTACGCAGGAGAGTGTAGTAGGTCCAACGCTCTTTCTCTCGCACGCCACGCCTTTTCATATTGGATGTTAACGTCATAATTTTTTCGCATGTCATTAATAATATCCTTCGGCCTATAACGACGACTTACATCCTCGAAGTTGGACTCTATAATCTGACCTATCACACGACTTCGAGCTTGTTAGTGGTCATATTTCATTACCTCACGTATGCAACTGTGCACCTCATAGAACGTAGAAATAAGGAAGGTATCCGAACCTTTAATCTTCCTTGCACGCAGACTCCATTTGCATCCATCCTCCGAGCATCCAACAGTGTACAAACTCTTTGTAGATTTCTTCATGCGATAATCAAAATTCAATCTCATTGCAAACACTGAGAGTATGAACTGTAATTCGTCTTTCGATCGAAAAGTACTATCTACCGCAATGTCCTCCGTTGACAAACTAACTTCATCACCTATCCTAGTGATTTTCCTCGAGCAAGAAGCTTGACCAGTTGCACACGGTGCATTCGTACTAATCATGTGCAGTTCGGTCAAGGGATTAGAAGATGGAGCGGCTACATCCCTTGGGTCTACTTCCTCCTCGTTGTCAACATCAACATCGTTCTCGAACTCAGTATCGTGGTTCTCATCATCCTCGGCCTCATACTCCACGTCATTCTTATTATTATCATCTCATTGACCGCAATAGTTTGTTTCGTCATCACCCAAGTTACATGGGATCACATTGTCCATCAACGGTGCTATTGATGGGACAAAGCATGATGAATCAACACCCGGGAGCGTGGAATCAAAAGGAACCGATGGCACATAATATGGAATGGTTTGCCCTAACTGGTGTGGAAATGAATGGAATGCTTCGGTTCCTGGAATTATACGATTCTATGAAGTGCTTCCACCACCATGTCTTTCCTTCGGTACGACAGATATATATAATAAGACTTCAGAGAGATGTGGAGGGCCACTTAAAAAAAATCGAACGCTATGGTCATTGAAGATATAATACTTTGGAACCTGGTACTGCAGATTAAACTTGTATACACAATGTATACCAAGATGTTGAATTGGTCTGGATCTATCCGGGTAAGTCTGAACATAACACTTATGAGCTCGTCATACGTTATACTATCGTCCACATCGAAACTTCTATAATCCCGCCTTCATAGACATATTGTGACTCATTCCACATACCACCATAGCTAACAAAGAGGCGAGACATCCTGCATGTCGAACCAACAACATTCTTAAAATCATAATAATATACAAAATTATACATTTAACTTATCGGGTGAAGTTTCCATATTTCCCAAGCGAGAATTCACGAGCGAAACAAATCGAGATGCTTATTGTAGATCTCAAGCGAGAATATTTCAATCTCGATCGTCAAAGTAGTTGCGCCTCAACTTAATAGCTAAAGGGCAAGTACAAAGTGCACATTGTTACAAGTAATAATTTGGAAATATTACAAGTTCGTCTCCATAGGGACTAGTTTTTCTTTTGAAATTGAATTTGAGAACTGTTAGAATGAGCAATCAGGTTTGTGATAAAAATTGGTGAGATTGGTTGAATACGAAAAACACACGAAAATAAAAGAATTTAAAAGGCCAACCCCCTACTTCTGTTTAGTTTTAAAATGATGAGTTACACCTACCAAATGTGCCCGTAATTACGCTCAATTTATGCAAACTGGTTCAACTCCTATTCCATATTGCTTTTGGTTTGTTTAGAAGTTTAGGCTAGTGTTTACACATTACTATGCAACTCTAGAATCCTAAATAAATTAAATGCCAACTTACGTTTAACGGGTAAGAGAGCCTATGTCTAGGATCTTGTTTTAGTTCTTATTTCTAAGTAACCTCCCGTTTTACCTTGATGAGATCCGTTTGACTCTAACCTTATCAGAATTAAACTCAAACTAGTGTGATTTAAACAAGTGGCCAACAAGAAAATCAACTAGATAAATTGTATCAATCAAGATAAGCAAAGAGAGTGTTGGGACTTTCTCTACCTTTAAAAAGATTAGAGACTCGTGCAAGCGCACACGGTCACAAGTAATACTCGGAAGTAATCCAAGGTCGAATCCTCAGGGACTTGTTGCTTTTCAAAATCAAGTAATGTAGTGAAATGGTTCAAATATGCAATTGTGATTTAGGAAGAATATAGTGGTGAAATGTTGTTGTTTGGGGTTTTAACTAACAAGCAATTTAATGAAACTCAACTTCCTTGTCTCCTACCTTTGTTTTGATGCAAAACATGGAAAACACATTATGTTGGGAAAATGCACCAGACGCAATTCCTGACTTTTCTTGGGATTTGAGTTCTACTATTTCACTATCGCTTTTGGGTAACCTACAATCATGTTCCTATGTGTGATTACAATCCTAGAAAATATCTACCAACTCATTTGCATTATGGGTCAGAGGGCCTATGCCTAGGACC